GAGGATTTCTCAAGCGAAACAAGCCGGACAGACTCGCGCGCGGCATCTCGGGGCTTGAAGTTTCGAGAATGTCTCAGGCGGAGCGGCCCGGACCACTTCGCTCGCGGCATCCCAGAGCCCAGATGTTCGAGGATGTTTCATGCGAAAGGCGAAACGGCCCAGACCACCTCTCGCACGGCATCTCGGGGCTTAGAGTTTCGAGGGTGTCTCAAACGAAACGGCCCGGACCACTTCGCATGCGGCGTCCCAGAGCCCAGATCGCGAAAGCCTTGCGGCTGGCGCCGCCGACCCTGAGTGGGGACGACGACGACGGCGGCGGTGGCGGCGGCGACGACGACGACGCTGACGTGGGCCCGAGTTATCAGGGATTCTTCTTGGAGTCTCTTGGGAAGGCCCTGGTCTCTTGGGAGCCTCTTGGGGGCCTTTTAGGGGTCGTTTCGGGCGTCCTGGTGGCCTCTTGTGGGTTTTTTGGGGCCTCTTGGGAACCTCTGGGGGCCTCCAGGGAGCTTCTCGGGGCCGAGGGGTCGAAATGTCCGTTCGGGTTCCCCGTCAAGGCACGCTCTTGGAGCCGTCTTGGGGGCCTCTTGGGCCGTCTTGGAGGCGTTTGGGGCTGTCTTGGGGTTCTCTAGGGATGTTTTGGAGCGTTCTTGGAAGCCCCTTTGGCCGTCTTGGGGCGATCTTGAGGGCCTCTTCGGCCGTTTTGGAGCGGCGGGAAGCAGAAAAGGCGAAAACGCCCAAATCTGCCAAACATCTAAAGGAAATCAATGATGTTGGCTTCTTGGGGCCCTCCTGGGAGTACCTTTGGAGGCCTCTTGGGGGGCGTGAAGGTGTTTTGGACCGATCCTTTGGCGATTTGGGGCCCTCTTGGATAGTCTCGGGGGCCTCTCAGGGCTCTCTTGGCTTCTTGGTTTGCTTTGGTACTTCTTGCAGCCCCAGGACCCCCAGGGGGGGATGCGTCTCTGATCCCCCCTCCGTGGGACACCCCCCTCAGGGACCTCCCCCCGACGAGGGGATTGGGAAGGGGCTTGCCTTCGGTTCGATTAGGACAGAGAAAGGGGGCGACGCAGACGACGACTGATGGAGACGACGACTCGAACAGACAAACCCCACGCATACGCCGACAGTGTCGGCCGATTTTCGAGGATGTCTCAGGCGAAACGGCCCAGAACACCTCGCGCGCGGCGTCCCGGATTCACAGATGTTCGAGGATGTCTCAAGCGAAACGGCCAATCTCGGACAACTCAGAAACGAGATGTGTGAGGATGTCTCAAGCGAAACGGCCCCGAACACCAGATTGTTTGAGAATATATCTGCTCCCTTTTCTTTCGGCCGGAGCTAGCTTCCATCACAGCGCCACGTTCAGCAAGTTGTTTGGGGAATGATATCCTGGGCTGGAGCAGGTCGCACCCTGGCGGCCCCTGCGGCGTCGCCGTTTGCGCGCTTTTCGCGCCGGGGGGGGGTCCAGCGTCCAGCGCCGATCCAAGAAATCCACGCGGACCTCCGAAAGTTTATGCGTGCGCAGTTGTGTCTTCCAAGCCGTTCCCTTTTCCTCCCTCTTAGCGGACGAACTACTCTACAACAGACATATAAGTCTACCGTTCGGGTTCTAAGGAGATCGGGGTGGGTGGGTGAAGTGTTCGGTTTGCGATTCTCGTCTGATCGGAAAGCGTGTTCTCATGACTCGTTGTTGTAGATTGGTCCCCGAGTCCAGAAGCGGGACCCGCAGGCCGAAAACCAATAAAGACAGCAGGAATTCTCCGCAGAGTAGAAAACTTGACGTCGGAGATTTGAATCAGAGGCCTTCTGCCTGCCTAGGAAGGCTTCCCCCTCTCATGTTCTTCTGCGCGCCGCCGAGGAAGGGGGGAGAATTGCGTCGCTTGACGTGCGTGCTCCCCTTTGCATGACCGGTAAAAATGAGCTTCTTCTAGGTCTTCTCTCCCCCCCAGACTCCCGAGGCCCTGACAACGCCCAAAAAGAAAAGACATTGTTTTTGAGTGTTCGGCCTCGGGTCCGCGTTCGGGCCCCAGCTCCGTCAAGCCAAGTTTTGGACGACAATCTGTCCCTGGGGAAGGGATCGAGAGGTCTGGAGACCTGGCATGTCTGGATGTTCAGGTGTTTGGAAACCACCTGGGGGGCAGAAACGTATAAGAGCCTCGCTATCCCTCCCTCCCTTAGATCGGCTCAGCCTTGTTTTGTTGTGTTCATTGCAGCCCTTGTTATCAGCGTCCACTGCCTACCCTCTTAACACAGGTGTTGTTCTAGCTGCCAGAGTATCCTACATGCCAACCATCCACCATGCCATGGCTTCGCCGCTAAGGTCAGCCATCTTGGCTTTTGCTTGGCTTAAGCCAGTATGACGTCAGCTCTGGCTAAGCAGGTTTCAAGTGGCGGTGCTCGCACTTGCCTCGTTTCTTCAATCCGGCTTGAAGTCACATCTTAATTTAGCGTAGCCTCGGCCAGCGTTGCGTAAGTGAGCCCGCCAAAGGTTCAGGTGGCTTGCTAAGCCCACTCAAGCCCACCCAGGTGTACATTCGCACAGATATAATGGCATAGCTGTTTTTCAATCAGCTATGCCTCCGTACCCGTGCGTCTGCTCACTCGGATTAGCTTGACTGCGCTTTCATGTGCGTCGCCCGGTTGCACCAGACCAACGCAGCATCAGGTGAACATTATGCGCAGTCAAACCAACACGCGCGACACCAATACGAGTCTCGCGAGCACAAGTTTAGAACCACCCGCCCATGTTATTATTTCCATGTAGTTGGAGCCGGTTGGAGGCTCTCACCCTCTAGCCCGAACCGATCGTATGTTTTTGCCCATCGTGTTCTCAATCCTTTCGCTCGATGTCTTCCTCGCTTTCTTGTCGACCTCGTTGCACAGTCTTGCATTGTTGTGTTTGCTGTATCTGTTACTGTGCATGGCATCTCCCGCGGTCGGTTGATTGACTGGTATTGGCAGAAGCCAAATAGCAAGATTTGGGTGAATTTGGCTACACTCCGAAGTAGGGCTCGGCTGGAGGGTATCGTGTTGGGCGCACTTGTCGCAGGACACGCTGGCTGCCAGCGCTGCCGGAAACGTTCCCTACCTGCCACCAGCTCGACCTGTCGTCGCACATTCGGGTTTCCGCCACCTGCCCCGACATGTTCCCTTTCGCCCAGTCTGTCATTGGAAGCCTCTGCTGCCACAGGCAGCCCCGACTGGTCCGCCGCACTGGCGTCGGTCATCGACACAAAAGCATGAGCTGCCATCTTTAGCCCCGGACTGGCCTTCTGGCCCGGCAGGTAGCAGCAGATATTCCGACCTCTGAAAGAGCGCGTTCTGTGGTCGCTTGGAGGGGGGGGGGGTGGAACTGGACCCCCCCCCTCCCTCTCCTCTCTCATCGGGCCAGCGCCTGCGTCGGCGGGCGGCTGGCGGCGGCGGCGGGGACGACGATTTCCTTTTCTGGGCCGGCGCCGGCGCCTGCGGCGGCGGGCGGCGGCGGCGGGGAGCGTCGACGAGGACGACGGTGGTGGTGGTGGTGGGTTGTGGTGGTGGTGGTGGTGGCGGTGGTGGTGGTTGTCGTATTGGTGATGTGGTGTTTTGTTGTGGTGGTGGTTGCTGTGATGGTGGGTGGTGGTGGTGGTGGTGGTGGTTTGGTGGTGGTGAGGTGGTGGCTTGTGGTCGTGATGGTGGTGGTGGTGGGTTGTGGTGGTGGTGGTGTGGCGGTGGTGGGGGTGGCGTGGTAGATTGGTGGTGGTGGTGGTGGTAGTGGTGGTGGGTTTTTGTGGTGGTGGTGGTGGTGATGGTGAGTTGTGGTGGTGGTGGTTGTGGTGGTGGTGGTGGCTGTGGTGGTGGTGGTGGTGGTTGTGTGGTGTTTTGGTGGTGGTGGTGGGTTGAGGCGGTGGTGGTGGTGGTAGTTGCGGTGGTGGCGGTAGTGGTGGTAATCGTCGCTGCGTCTCCGATGTCGCCGTCGCGAGTGCCGGCCCTGCTGGCCGCCGCCAGCGCCGGCGCCGGCTCCGGCGCCAGAGGGGGGGGGGGTTGAACTCCCCCCTTCCCCTTGAGCTGCTTCTCGTCATCGTCGCTGCGTCCCCGCAGTCGGCGCTGCTGGCGGCCGCCAGCGCCTGTGCCAGCGCCGGCGGGCGCCAAAGGGGGGGAGTTCGGGAGGGGGGTGTTTGGGGGAGAGGGGAGCCCCCCTAGTTTTGATCGACGGCGTCGGGTGTTTGGGGGGGGGATCACCCCCCGGTTCCGAACGCGCCGCCGAATGTTCCCAAGGCAAGCGCCAGTGAAACGCGCTCTCTCCGACCTCTACCAGCCCGTTCGCTTATTGTATGGTGACAACATGAAAACGGAAAGGCGACTTGATCTGGGCGTTGCAGGGCAGGCTGGCCCGTTCAGCTCTTTGTGCAGACAGCCTCGCTTAACCAGGCAAGGTCCACTAGGCCATCACAACAGAACATAAACAGTTGTTGTTGCCGCCGCGGTCACAGAAGCGTTTCTGCCATGGCCCGTGTTTGCTCCAGCGCTGTATCGTCCGCAACAAACCGTGACAATAGCCTCCACAGGCCGCCGATCGGCTGGCTTCATCCAGACCCCCAACGAAAAACAAGATGGCAGATTTTCCTGCGGTTTTCACTTTGTGAGCCCGCCTCTGGGCCCCAGAACCCGGAAAAACATCCCAGGAAGGAAAACCGGCCCAGGAGCGAGGTCAAGAGTTTTTGTGTAGGGCCCGAGGGTGAAACACGCATCAAAACGTCAGAGGTCTTGGAACTGTGGCTAGTCAACATCTCGTTCCTCACGCCCACGAGTCCCACAGTCTCAGTATGCCGTCACCGGCACCCAGCAACAGGAGCGGCAGCAACAGCGCGGGAGATGACGCACACAGGCGTGGAGCGGCGTGTGCGATGAATCATTACGTTCGAGGTATGTTACCAGTGGTAGTCCAACAACTTCTTCAAGTATTGTAATTCGGATTCGTATATTTGATGGGGCAGTTGCATCCTCACCACCATCTCCTCTGCGAGGTGGCCGCCTCCATCAGGCACGACCCCATGGGCCGCCAGCTGGAGTCGCCGTTGGTGGTGACTACGCAGGGTAACAGAAATAATGGAAGTATGTCGAAGTGCAACAGCAGGCCATACAACTGTCTGGCTCGGATTGCTCTGTCTTTTCCTCTTGCTTGGACATGCCTCACCTCCATGTGCCTTTGGTCGTAGTGGTGTTTTCCTGGCGCCGTATATAGTCTGGATTCAGCTCGTCGGGGCGACTAGAAGGGAAGTTGGAGGGACGGAAGCAATTGATTCACTATCGTATTGCGCAGACTTCCGACCCCTGGCTTGGAGGAATTGGGAACCAGAAAGCCGCGGACTTCTGCGGACGCGCGCCGCCAGAGCTGCTGGGAAGGCTGAAGGGAGACTATCCGCGGACGTCCGAGGGTCAATGCTTGCGTTGGGGTCTCCAAGGATGCCCAGCACGTGTGCATCGGCTGGCGCCATCCGTCCACCTCGCCGATCTTGGCCAGGCCCATCCTAGGCCCAGGATCGGCAGATACGACCTCATGGTTTGGCCAGGGAGGTATGGGCCCAGGACGGGCCCGACCAGCATCTGTGAGGTGGATGGTTGACGTCCTCCGATTCATGGAGCCGTAGAGGCCCGCGGACTCTGGAGATGGTTGGCCCTTAGCCGCTTGCGAGCGCACCCTCACCCTATATCGTTCCCAGGTGCCGCTGCCCATCTCGGGCATGGCGTCGCGCCGCGTGCTTGTGATGGATTTCATCGACGGCGCTGGGTCGGCAAATGCGGGAGGGTACCGCAGGCCCCGAGGCCTCCTGGCGTCCTGACGTGACAAACTCCACAACTGTTGTTCTGTTTTCCAGGAGCCGCGTCTGGGTCCCGGGACCGTCAAGACACGCATCGGGATGAAGGATTGGTCATTTGGTAAGCGGCCGAGTGTTCCAGAGGCCAGCCATTCGAAGAAACATTGTGTATTGACGCTTTGGTTTTCAGCGACGCATGGATGCGTTTTCTGTTGCCTTATCATCGTCGCCTCGATGCTCGAGAGCCCCCTGGTACCATCTGCGAGGCTCCCCAAACTTCCCCCACGTCCCGCCCTTCCCCCTCCTCACTTTGAGGCTGCGGCGACAGGTGCAGGGCGAGGCTGCAGAAAACGCTTCTTCGCAGCGTAAATTCGCCGATGCGTGCTCGGGGGTGGAGGTGTAGTAGGGATCGGGATGAGCAGGCTAATGGAGAGCAAAGGGGGACCCAGACTTCTTGCGTCGTGAGTCGTGATTTGTTCGAAGCTCGGGCCTTGAAGGAGTCCTCGACCCCACCGCCGAAGATGTTGTTTTTGCTCGACCGGGCTCGTTCGGTCTTACCGGCCCAAGGAGCCCCCGCGAGTCCAAAATCATGAGAAACAACAACTCGCGGAAAACGCACATCGTCGGAGCATGGATCACCTTCCGAAGGGCAGCCGTCTTGCCCAAACCCAACCGCCGGTCACCTCAACAGCAGCACCCGAGTCTCAGCATTGGGGAGGGGAGCATGGGATACCAGCGGAAAGCATATCGACCCTCCCACCATCCTCCGCAAAAACCAGTATGAAGTAGCGGCGAGGTGGCCAGCATAGTACACGGCGCGTTCACCCGCAAGCAGTTCGCATGTGTTTTCGGCAGGGATGGCGGGCCCGCACACCACGCAATATGTGGGCACCGCGAGCAATGCAACATGATGTTGGGGCGCCAGCGAATGGTCCAAGATTTTGCTGCAACGTGCGCTTCGCATTAGTTTGTCAGACGGATACGCCAGGCAATATGATGACCACCCCGATGTCTTTGTACAAATAACAATGTAAAGTGATCGCGAGGCGCCCGAACGTAATCGATATTCTGCCGCATGGTGTACTTTGCTTTGGTCTTGGTGACAGGATGGCGGGTGTGTGTTGGCTTTGACCCTCGTTAGGGGCCTGTCGAATGGGGGATGGGGTTTCCATTCGCAAAGAGCAGTGATCAAGCTAGCCGTCCCACTCACTCCGACCCACCCACCTGACACATAAGTAGCACCCGAGTCTCAGCATGGGCAGGGGCCGCCATCAACAACCATCGCGAACCAATGCAGACGCCAGCCAGGTGCGCGGCGCCTGCGAGGCGCGCCGCGCGTGCCAGGGCAGCCCCATCAAAACGCAATGCTACTTATTTCGGAACGCCCGCGCATGGTTCAAGATTTTGCCGCAGCATGCACTTCGCACTGGTTTTTACAGTGGTGGTGGAACTACACGCTTGACGCAGTATGCTCCCCCCCGTAATGGCAGAGCAGACGAACATACTTGCATTTTCCAGAAACTTGCTTGTACTTTTGTCACATGGAAGTTGGGAGGGTAGCATTGGCCTTGGCTAGGGGGAAGTCGGCTGGGGGAGGGGGTATATTGAGGGGCAGTGGCTAACCCCTCCCGACGGGGAAGAGGGGGGGTGGAAGAGAAAATGCTTTAACCTTGACCCAGAGTGCTGGGGGGATTCGGCGCGACTATCGGACCGCCACAGGTTGCAGGCGACTTCTCGCACCAAATCCCCGCATTCCCACTAAAACAACTTACCGTTTAGAAGAGAAGGGAAGTTCTTGAATACCCACCCAAACGGCTGCTCGGACTCACTCCTTATCGAGGATGGGTGGCCCCCCCATCGTACATCCCCTGGTAGGGCCCCAGTTTTGTTGGTCCAGCCGGAAGTCCACGAGGTCGGGGATTGGGGGGTCGCCAGTCGCCATGCCTCCTGTTGTGAGGGTGGCATCTCCCCCAGAAGGAACGCCCTTGTCGAGGCTGGAGCAGAGGGCCAAGGAGCTCGGCATGAGCCTGGACAGCCCTGCTGGCAAGGCGCTCGGCAGGCGGATCCTCGGAGCGCTCACGTCCGCATACGGCAACATGATATTCTCCTCAGGCGCCTTCTGTTCGAGGATCCGAGGAAGAGGAAGGCTCGAGGATCGAGGGCCTGGGCCTCCGCGGGGGACCCCCAAGAGAATATGCACGTGCACCACGTCGGCGGCCTCGGCCAGCTTCTCCGCCGCTGGGCCCCCTCCCCGCACCCCTGGCCGCGCTTCGCGCGCCGGGGAGGGTCGGGGCGGACGAACGAGGGGGGGTGGGGAGCGTTGCGAGATCTACTTCGGCCCCGCCGCCCAGCGCGCTCCTTCGACACATGTGGTGGCTTCCTGGCGCTGGGAGGTGCCGGGACCCCCCTCCTCAGTTCGGCCGCCCCGAGAGAGGTTGTGGGAAGGGGGTCCGGCGGTGTTGGAGAATTTGCCCGCGAACATCCGAGCGTGTTTATTTGTGCGAGTTTCGAAGCTCTCTGTCAGGCTTCGTCCATGGCGACCCACACCCGGGGAACATATTCAGTCGCCTGTGGCTGATTCCGCAACCGTGCCACGAGCCAGAAGGTTCCAGAGGCAACTGTTTGCATGGCACGTCCCACTGTGCGACCAGGAGGATACCAGACAGTACGTAGCATTCTGATACGCCCACATCTTGGCAGGCACGGTAGCGGATTTGTCCTTGAAGGCGGCCGAGTAGCGCTGATTGATTGCGGCCAGGTGGCCCAGCTCTTCAAGGAGCAGCGGCTTCTGGTGGCGGAGGCGATCCTCGCATCCGCGAGCTACGACGGCAGCCGCGAGGCCGTCAGGGCGGGAACCCGCAGGCCTTTATCCAGACCTGTGGCCCCAGCCCCCCGCTCGTGCCGCTGTGGGCCCGGCCCGTGGACCAGGCCCGCAATGGGCCTTGGGTGTGTTCTGAGCTCCGACGTTGTGGCGTCAGGAGACCCGGCGTCGGGAACGAGTCCTGGCCGCAGCTCTCGACCCCGTCTCCGTGTGTTGGGTTTTTCGGGCCGGCCACGTGCGGGCCCTTGGGCCCGAAGCGGGGACTGACGTCAGGGCACACGTCCTCCCGGCGTGGCCAGGCGGGCATGCAGACCTCCGAAATATTTATTTGTTTTTCCCGCGCGTGGCCAACTTTTCGTCGTCCTCGGCCCATGGACGCCGTTCACCGGCCCCAGAACCGTCAAAAGACGGTTCGGGATGCGAGAGGCCGTTCGGAGCGGTGTCGTCGTCGTCATTGCCGCCAGTCGTCGTCGTCGGCCGACCTTGGGCCCAGGGTCGGCCGGCCTGCTAAAGTGAATCATTAGCTAGCTGGCGCAGTCCCTCCCCTTTCCCCCCCCTCTGCTCCCTCTCCCCACCCCCTCTCCTTGTTTCCTTCCCGTTTCCTTCCCCCGTGCCTTGCTTCCCCCTCCCCCCACCCCTTTTCATTTTCCCCACGTCACCCCTTCCTCCTCCTCCTCCTCCTCCTCCTCCTCCTCCTCCTCCTCCTCCTCTTCCTCATTTTTTTTCTCATCGAGGAGCTGCACGTTCTTTTCGCCTTTTTGGCGTCGGCGCGCGGCTTCCCATCATCTTTTGCTCGACGCGTTGCCAAATTTGCGGCCCACGTCAGGCGGCGCCAATTTTGCGGACCCTGCGCAGTACCCATGAGACCCAAGCAAGGATTTTACTGCTAGGAAGAGGCTTCGTGGTAGGATTTACCCTGGCGAGGCGGGTCTCGATGAACCTCGGACTCTGTCAGATGCCGCCCGCATGAAATGGGCCTTGCATTTTAGAGTCGGGAACGCACCTGCTACGGTGCCATGTCGGCCCTCTTTTTTTTCGCGGCAAGCAGTCGCCCCCCGCCTCGACCAACCAGTTTGGTTGAAAGTCTTCAGGCTCGAGTGCCGCGAGCTGGCGGAGAGCTGATGGAGCTTCTTGCGCTGAATCTCAGTGAGAATCTGTTTGGGCGGCTCGTCGGGGTTGACGTAGATGTCAGCGCGCACGCATGTGGTGCCAATAGAGGCGGAGTGCCGTCGACAAGGCTTTGGCTGCCGATGGAGAAGAGCGTGGTGTCTGGTGCCCCTTCCAAGTCGGTAGGCCCGGAGAGGTCCGCGATCGGGGCTTTGGCCTCTGCGACAGCGATGATGTCGCGTAGCTGGTCACTCTCCTGCCACTTTCGTGTTGGTGCAACATCTTGTCGGACTCGTTCGCGGCGGGTACGAGCAACGCTATCAGTAAAGGTGTCCACTCGGCGTTCCGTTTTGAATACTTGTGGTTGAAGAAGCGCACGGGGATGTTATCGATATTGTGTGCAGAACTGATCTGTCTGAGCATGACATGTATTGGCGGCGTGCGCAGCTTGTTACTGCATGGGGTTCTGAAGGGCGGCGCCAAATTCGGTGGGGAGACCAGGGAAGTGCATGTGGGCGGCGGACTCGGCTGCGCCGGGAGGCGCAAGGAGACCGTCAACTCTGCGAGCGTACTCAACTTGTGTAGCGGGCCCTGTGGGTCGTTGCCGTTAAGTGGAAGGGTCAGTGGCGAAGCTTCCGGTTTGGCCGCGAGCAGATGGGCCAAGGTGCGCTTATTTCCGCGGGCAAGCGACGCCTGCGAGAGGGTTAGCGTGCGCGGCGGCAGGAAAACGCGGCGCCGCGGGTGCGTGACGGGGATAGGCCTTGTCGCAAGCCCTTGATTGCGACGGCGGGTCGCCGTGAACGGGTGGGGGCCTACCCTTAGCCCGAGGAGGTTTCTGCCAATGGACTGGAAAGTCAAGGGGGGAGAGAGGAGAAACGGGGCAGGGGCGCCCGTCCGAAGTCGTTTTTGCCAGGCCTGCAGTGGGGCCCCGCCCCCCGCCGCAAGCCCCCGGCAGGGCGGCCCCGCCCCGCCGCACGTCGGCCGAAGTCTCACTCTTCGGCTGCCGCGACAGAGCCCCGCGCGCGCCTGGACACAGCCTGCGCTCTGGCCCAGACAACCCTGGCCACCTGGGCTCCCGCAGCAACGCTACCCCAACATGCAGTGGCGAGCCATCCGCGCGAAGTGCGAGATCCACTGCCATGCCATGCCCGTCGCCCGCCTCGACATCTGTGGTCGGGCCGATCCGACCGCCCTCAAGTGGAACTGCCAAGCTGCCAACCCCGACCTCTTACCGTGGAGCCTTTCTCGCGTCCTTACAGGCCCTCTTCGCAGACACCCGGGCGGCCGCTCAGCTTTCCGAGCCGCCCGCGGGCCGCGGGCCCCGTTGCCTTTATCTGCGACGACCGAGCAGGCGACGCTTGTCGCGTGGAACGCACGCGCCCTCGCGCGCCATGTGCGCAAGAGGCGTCGAAAGAAGCAGGCCGCTCTAGCCAAGTTCACGCAGCGCCAGTGCGCCACCATGCTCCAGGAGGTCCACGACTCGGAGGCCCTGCTCCGCACCTGGGTGGATACGCAGGCGCGCCCATATAAGCTTTTCGTTTCCCGGTCCACGAAGGCCGACGACGTCGCAGAGCAAGCCATTGGTGGCAGTGTTACTTTCATTCCGTGGTTGACGCCGATGCAGCTCGAGCAGCTCCGACCCCGTCAACTACCGACCTGCTCCCAGGAGGCAGCGGTCGTTTGCCGCTTTTCAGCTTGTCGCCGTGACCCGCGCCATCTCCCTCTGCGCGGTTGTCATTGCGGACGCGCGCAGTCACGATGCCAATGCGGCCGACCGCGAAAAGACGAGACAAGCTTGGCACCGCCTGCGCTCTTGGGCAGAAGTCGACTACCGCCATCGCAATGTCATCGCCCTCGGCAGCCTCAATACAGCCAGTCGCCCACCTGGCAGTTTCCTACAGCCCCCACCGCAACGCGCGCGCCTTGCCATTGACAATCGTGCCCGCCAAAAACAACTTTTTTTATGGGAGTCCCTCTTCGACGCGATGCTCGAAATCGAGACGGACCTCCCAGCGCGCTTCCGCGGGGCTGACAACGCCGCGCCCGCCGTCGACCGCATCTTCATCGGCCTGCCGTCGCGCGCCACGCTAGAGCTGGCCATGGGCGTCACAGTCGCCCACGGCTCTGCCATCCTGTCTGGCAGTCGCTTCCGCGATCGCGCCGTCATTATCTTCGCCATCGGCATCGCGCAGAGGATCCCGCTGGCCGGGCAATCCATCCCGCCTGCCATCTTCCGCTACCTGGACTGCTCGATCTCTCTGCCGCAGTTCATCGACGTCGCCAAGCACGCCCCGATCGAGAACCTCTGGCGCTCCCGCAAGTACCTCATGGTCGAGGCCGCGCGGCACGCCTGCGACGATTTGGGCCGCGCCATCACCGCTCGCTCTACCTTGCGCGCCACCTGGCGCCAGCACTTCCAGCTGGCCCCCCCCTTGCACGCCGCCGCCGCCGAGCTGGGCGCCCAGCTCCTCTCCTGCGACCACGGCGCCATCGCCCGCGCGAGCGCCGCCGAGTTCGCCCGCCCCCGTCCTAGCCGCAGCCCGACTACGAGGCGAGGCGGCGCCCCCTCGCGCAGCTGCCCACCCGGCGTCCGGCTGGGCAAGCGGGCGCGATCGCCGCGCATCTCCGACGGGCCCTTTGGCCCTCCGGGCGTCGAGCCCTCGCGGGCCCCGTGGACGCGCCGCCTCGCCCTCAGAGATCAATGTCCGAGGCCCCGAGAGAGAGCCGGAGAGAGCTGCCCCGCGCGCGTCGCGCTCCGACCACTGGCAGCCCGTCATCGCCGCGAAGGGCGTCGACGTGGCCAGCGACAAATTACCCGTCGCAGACGCCGCGCCGCTGGGGGCCATCGGCGCCCCCGCGCCGAGCAAGAACCAGATCCGCATTTCCCTTAGGCGCACCTCTCCGTCGGCGCCTGGCCCTGACTGCTTGCGATGCTCCGCCTGGCAGGCCCGCGGCGCGTCGCGGGACATTCTCGAGGGCGTTTCCATTTGCCCCTGCCCTGCAGGCCTAGCCCCGCCCGCTGGGCTTCAGCGATTAGTCTTCTGGCAGACTGGCGGCGACCTCGCGGGCGAGCTCGCCGCAGTCGGGCCCCCGAAGACACCCGACCCTCATCGCTCAAAAACACCGACATCAAAGCCAACGCTGGCGCAGCCAATTCATTCCTGAAGTCAGCCATCGCCGACAGCGCTCGCATCGCCCAGCGGGGTTTCGCCGCGGGCCGCAACGCCGCCGAGCGCGTCGCCCGCCTCGACGCCGAGCGCCGAGATGCGCCGCGCAAGGTTGGCCCCCGGCGCTGTCGCTAGCACGCTTGTCTCCACCTGCTTCGACAATGCGGCGGCGTCGCGTTGGAGCGCTTCGGGGCCCCCGCCGGCCTCCTTCCCCAATCTTGCCCGCGCCATGAACTGCGCGCCGCGCAGTTGCATCGACGTTGAGGGAGTCCGCCACGACATGTTCCCGCTCGAGTCCGGCGTCGCTCAGGGGCGCTCAGCGAGCGGCGCCGCGCGGGCCATCGCGATCGACCCGCTCGCCCGCCGCGCCGCGTCCTTCGTCGAGCGACGGCGCCCCGATCCTCTGCGAGGACTACTTCGGCAGCTGCGCTGACGGCCTCGGATTCCTCAGCTGCTTGTTCGACGCGCGTCTGGGCCTTTCGCTGTCGTCCAGGCACTGGCGCGCCTGTCTCCGACGCCGCGCGAGCGCGTAGTCGCGCCCGCTCTGGGCCGACGCGTCTCCCGCCGCCATGGCCCGCGCCGGAGCTGCCCTGGCCGCGTTCCGCCCGTCGTGGGCGGATTTGTCTGCGCCGGGGCTCGGGCC